CTTGAGCTTTGATCCTGACGATCTCTTCATGTAGAAGGTCCGCATTTTCCTCCAGCTGTCTTTTCTTCTGCTCCACGTTCTGGAGGCTGTCGGTCAGGGACTTGATTTTAGCTTGGTGCTGTAAAACAGAAGGCCTGGTGAGAACACACAAACTTTAAGACAGAGTGTTCAGTCTGTGGACACTTGTTAACCTGCTGCCAGATTTATGAGCACAGGATGTGACACTTTAACTGTGGCGGTGAGGCTGCTGTTAGCAGCTGTGTTTGGCCACAGTCACCTGGGAGATGCGGAGCTGGCAGGCAGTCAGCTCCTTCTCGGCCTCGTCCAGCCTCTGGCTGCTCTCAGACTGGCTGCTCTCCAGCTGCTTGCTGCGCTTCACCATGGTCTTCACTGCAGACTTCATCTTGTTGATGTAGAGCCGGGCTGCGGTGAACTCTTCATCAATCAGACCACTGCTCTCCTGTTGCTGAGGGGTTAAAATAAACCAGTTAAACTCAAGTTCGACTCCATAACCTTTGATTGTTTGAGTGATTGGTTTACATTCTGACTGTAAATTATTTTTAATATATTGTCCTTTTTCAACGGTTTAATGGTTAAAATACATGCGACTTCAACGCTTTTGAAAAAGAAACAGTTGGGATGTTGTTTAAAACATAAATAAAATGGAATATAAAGATTTGGAAATCATTTTCATTCAAATACAATTAAATACACTACAGACAAGATATAATGTTGAAACAGATAAACTTTTATGGTTTTTGACAATTCACTCAGTTTGGATTTGATGCCTACAACACCATCCAAAAACGCTGGGAGAGGGTCATGTTTACCTCTGTGTTACATCACCTTTCCTTTTARCAAGTGTTTTGGAACTGAGGACACTGATTGTTGAAGCTTTGTAGGTGGAATTCTTTCCCATTCTTGATTGATTTACAACTTAATTGGCTCAACAGTCCGAGGTCTCTGTTGGGGTATTTTGTGCTTTATAGTGCTCCACACATTTTCAGTGGTAGTCAGGTCTGGACTACAGGCAGGCCAGTCTAGTACCTGCACTCTTTTACTACGAAGCCAGTTCTTTACCACATGCAGAACGTGGTTTGGCATTGTCTTGCTGAAATAAGCAGAGACGTCCCTGAAAAARACGTGGCTTGGATGGCAGCATGTGTTGCTCTAAAACCTGTATGTAGCTTTCAGCATTAATGGTGCCTTCACAGATGTGCAAGTTGCTCATACCACAGGCATTAATACACCTCTATACCATCAGAGAGGCTGGCTTTTAAACTTTGCGCTGATAACAATCTTGACAGTCCTTTTCTTCTTCTTTGGTCTGGAGGACACAACGTCCACAATTTCCAAAAACAGTTAGAAATATGGACTCATCAGACCACAAGACACTTTTCTACTTTGTGTCAGTCCATCTTAGAAGAGCTCAGGTCCAGAGAAGCTGGTTGTGTTTCTGGGTCTTGCTTTGTCTTTGCATGATAGAACTTTAACTGTCACATGTAGATGTAGAGATGAACTGTGTTCACTGAAGTCTTCTAGAGTCTATATCAGGGCTATTCAACTGCCCCGGGGGTCACAGTTAATGCAGACCAGGTGCCGAACATCCAGCTAGTTGTTAAAGTTGTTATGTAAATAAACTAAGTATTACAAAGATCTGTTACCTTTGAAATAGTTTATTTTGCTGTATTTAATCAAGAAAACATACAGAACCCTATGAAATAAATGTAGTGATGATAAAACCAAAAAAGAAACATATTTACCACAAAACATTTAGACATTTCTGACTTGCCAAATTTTTAAACCAATTTTATTTTCACTTTTGTAGTTTTATCTTCAACTGGTTGTAGTATTAACTGTCTTGGATGTTCTTATAAATGGTTTTTACCAGCTTGTAGCCAATATTCCGACATTTCTGCAGATACCAAACATGTCTATGTTCAACTAAAATAACTTAGAGTAATTATAGTAGAAAACCAGGGGTTTGGGCTTGAGATGAATGAACCAATTGGTGGGAAGAACTTTGGTCACTAGCGGGTCGGATGTGGCCCGCAGGCCACCAGTTGAATAGCCCTGGTCTATGTGGTAACATGGGGTTTTGGCCTTGCAGCTTATTTACAG